CAGAAGAAATAGAAGACTGGTGTCGAGACACTGAAAACGACTCAGGATTTCAAATTTTAAATGATCATGAAATTGTTTCTGAAATTTTGAATGAAAATCGGAACTCCTCAGATTAAGAGGAAGAAGTACGTGATCAAGTTCAAGATCGTGGACCTTCTCATAAGAAGCATGCAATTCATTAGATATTGCAATGAATTGCCTAGAACGTCAAAATGATGTTGATCCAATTCAGTTGATTTATTTAAAAAGAATAAGGGACATGGCTGCACAAAAAAGAGCATGTTCTTTGAAACAAAAGTCTTTGCTGGATATCTTTTGCAATGGAAAATAAAGAAAAATGTGGTAAAATCAGTAATTGACAAAAAAAATTATAAAAAAGCCAAAATATGATAAAAATGATTCAAATTGGAAAAAAAAAGTTTAAAAAAATATGTTTAAAAATTGAAAAAAAAAAGTCTTAAACTCGCCAGAGCTATTTTAGATAGTACTGCTAGTCCTAAGCCTAGAAAAAGTGTGAAGGGAGGTTAGCGCATAAATAATAATAATTTAAACTAGGTTTTAAACAACCTTCCAATTATCCGAACATTTCATTATCCGAACCACGTTCGGTCCCGAGCAGTTCGGATAATCGGCGCTCTACTGTATTAGAAAATTATAAAATAATTTTCTAAATTTCAGTTTATTGAATGAACAATAATAAGTGCTATTAAATTTTTAGATTTTTTTATCAAATTAAAAATTAGGAAATGTATTCTTGATTTTTTCTTTGTAAAAAAAGAAAAGACTTTTTACTATAAAAATAAGACATATTTTATCAAAGACACTTTTTTAACTACAAATTATTTCATTGTTTTTGTAAGTTATGCAAATTTTACCATATTTTTCAAAACAAGCTTAACTGAAATCCCAGATTAAATTAAATTTTGTTGAACTCATCAATACAGTAAGAATTATAATGTAGTTGGGTCTGTAACAATTTTTTATAACTCTTTTCAGATTAAACCGAAAACACCAAAACTTATCAGTGCAAATTTGATACAGCAGACACCTCCACAGATGTCTTCAAGTGAGACTCAAACAAACCAGTCTCCACCACAACCGGCTGCTGAATCAATCCCTACACCGCAATCTACTCTACATCAAAAATCAGATGCGGCTAATCAAACTAACCAAGTAAATGACAAAAAGTATTTACCTGTTAACAGTAAGTCTGTTTCTGTGGCCATAGACACTAGAAATCAGACATCACTGATGCCACAGCCAAAATCTCAAGCCATTGTGGCACCATCTACGAAAATTATAGAAAAAGTAATGTCGTGTGTTGATACATCAGTATCCACTACAACACCCACTGTAACATCTTTGTCTTCTACATTATCATCTTCCACTGTACATGTTGGCACTACTGCAACAGCCAATGAAACAGTTTCCTCCTCAGCTTTATCTGTGTCCGTAGTGTCACCTACGTCTCAGGTAAAAGCGGCCGAGCCTAACAACGAAACGTCAAAATCAGCAACCGAATCTATGGAGGGGTCGGAGGTTTTTATGCCTCTTCATGCTGAGACTATGGAAACATCTGTAGAGAAAGATACTTTAAAGCTGCAAGATTCCATGAAAAAGACTTCTTTGAATTCTGCTAAAGATAAACAACCGCAGAAAGCTATTGTAAAACCTCAAGTTTTGACTCATGTTATTGAAGGTTTTCTTATCCAGGAAGGCCCAGAACCTTTTCCGGTTAGTATTAAATAAATTATTCTATCTGGAAAATTTTATTATTATTTACCATTTTTAAGATTACATTTCTTAATGTATTACTATTAAGAAACTATTTTTAATTATTATAATTTTAACTTAAATTTTATTAGTATTACTATTTCTAATAGTGAGGTTATATTTTTATAGTGCATTTAAGATATTGATTTTCAAGAATGTTAGTTGTATGATGCAGGGTTGCCGCAGGTGACTTAAATGCGACTATTTGCAACTATTTTCAGGAAAAGGAGACTTTTCTGTGGTCCTAGCTATTTTCTTTTAAGCATAAATTGGGTCGACAACCTGCGGCAACTTCTTCTGAACACAGAATAAAAAATGTTGAATTGCAAATTTTAGTAATCACTTTTAAATGCACTCAATTTGAACAGATTCCATTGTAAATCTATTTTGTTTCTCAATCGCCTTTTCAACGGTTATTACTACGAAATTCTGCATGATCTTAGAAAACCCAATTTTTAATACGATATTACAATATGTGAATTTGAATCATCACTTTTCACAATATATGTATGTATATATGTATTTGCTAAATCAATTATTAGTTAAACTGAAAATATTTTAGGAAAAGTGTTTTTTTTTTGTTTTTTTTTTTTCTAATATGGAAAAAAAAATTTTTTTTGAATGATTTCTAGTATTCAATTTTCTGCAAATATACTAATTCTTTTTATATGACAATTAAGTCATTTAATAAAATTTTAGTCATATTTTCGTTCTTATTAAGCAACTATTTTCATAGTTTCCGGCAACTATTTTCATGCTTTGGGCTACTAAAAGCAACTATTTTGTTCCCTTATTTTCTGTGGCAACCTTGATGGTGCGATCTCGAATTCTATGTCACATGGTCAAATTTTCGTTCACAAGTGCAAAATCAAAATCTAATCTAATCTAATCTAAATCTGCAGATGTCTTCTCTAAGTCTGAAAAATACCATAACTTTTCTTTATAATTCTATGACTTGCTTTGCTTGGAATTCAGAGACTATGAGTTTTCATAAAAATCTATGAACTCACCTATAGATTAAAAAATGAACAAGCATTGCACTTTGGAAATGTGAGAATATATTATATGAAATATTTAATTTCAAATCATGCTACAACTCTATTCTTGTTTATTTATTTAAATTTTTGTTTTGATAAAATACTTATCTGATAGTTCTTTTTTATGTTTATAAGTTTTGACTGTTAAATATTGTCCTTATTTTCTTGTACATATAATTCTCCATTTCTATTCTATACTGTCTTATAAAAAAAAATGTTCATGCAGTTTATTTTGGTTTAAAATATTACATTGAATTGAAGATAATTTTTAAACTGAAATAAATATAAAAAATTTTAATATTTAATGCCCTTTCAAGGGAATGTCATGTAAAATATTTTAATGATTTTTTTCTACTTGACCTTTTAAAATGATTTCGATCTTAAGTGATAATATAAAATATGCTAATATCCTTACTCTTTTATAAATAAATTGTAATTAATGCTCTGCATATAATTATTGCCATTACTCCTTTAAAACTGCAGGTAAGGTCTTCACTCTTTGATTCTCCTTGCCGAAGTACAACGTTAGAAAGAGCAGATGTCATTGATAAAAGAAAAGAATCACCCACGGGTAAATATATTTCACCAAAACTATGCATTCTTCATTGTTTTAATTCAAAATTGTTTTTTGCGCTATTAATTTTTTATAGCTCCCACTCTCCCTTTATATATATATAGATAAGAATTGATGATCT